TAGCCCTCTCTGTTTGAAATACATGCACAAGTTGGTATTTAATTCTGGAGGCTTTTTTGAAGTTTCATTTGGGGGCCTTGTTTCGTTCCCTACTGTTGCCCTTTTGTTTTGGAACATATGCAGGTGATGATATTTAATTTTGAGGGCTGCTGAAACTCTTGCTTCATGGCTTAGTTTCGTTTCTCTGCTTTCTGTTATTCTCTTGTTCGAAACACATGTTGGATGACATGTTTAATTTTCTATAGTTATAAGCCTTTAAAAAAAGTAAAGAAGAAAAGGAGTTATCTATGAGGTTTCGATTTTGCTCCTTATATCGCTGCTCCTGTTTGAATGCATGCTACAATCTTTTGGTGTTTTGAGCAGTCAGTTTTGGGGCTCGGTTTTATTTTCTATTATTTCTCCTATTTGAATAGGTGTTGGAATTTGTTCTAGTGCTTTCAGAAGATACTTTGGGGTTTGGTTTTCGCTCCTTGTAACTGTTGCCTCGTTTGAAAGATGTGTTGAATGAAAATTTTTGTTTTTAAGGCTTAGAATAGCTTGTTTTGGGCTTGGTTTTATTCCCTGGTTGCCCCTGGCCGTGAGCCTTCCTGTTGCGTTTCTTTTGCTTAGTTTGGGCTGGGTTGTCCCCCTTGCTGCTTCCCCTGGCTGTGGGCTCCTTTGCTAATTCCTGAATATGGTTGTGGGTTGGTATTCCCTTTGGCTACTCTTACCCGTGAGCTTGTGGTTTGTCGGTTTGGGTTTGGCGGCCCTCTTGTTGCTCTTACCCGAGAGCCCTTTGTTTGTGTCTATTGGTTCCTTTGTGCACATGTTGGTAGTTCCCACGTTCGTGTTGGGGTTGTTAGCTCCCCTACTGCCCCTGGCCGTGAGCACCTGTTTGGCTTTCCTTTGTGTTGTGTTTGGTTTGTACGTCACTGGATTTGTTGGTTTGAGGTGGAATTGAGTGTTTTAACCCTTCTGAATTGAAATATTTTAATCCTTATGTTTAGAAGAATTCAGATGTTCCTTTTCGATGAACAATCTATTGAATGTTGGAAGGTTCCTTGATGTTGCGTTGGACTCATACCTCATGAATGCTTTAAAGTTGGTGAAATGGAATGCTTTAATCCTTACGCTTGGAAGAATTCAAATGTCCCTTTTTGAGGAACAATCTATTAAATGTTGGGAGAGAATTCAAATTCTAATCCTTTGGGCCAGGTTGATTGCAGTAAAAGAAGAAAAAAGAGGGGGGGGGGGGGGTAGAAAAAAAGGAGTATCCTTTTGGTATTTGGAGAAAGTTTAGTTGTGGCTTGGAGCCTTTTAAATTGTGTCTTTCGGGGTTGTTCCTGGCTAGCATCGAGAAGTGTGCTTGTCTTATTACTTATTCGAGAAGTCTCATCAGATGGATGTTTTAGGCTAACCCTCCAATCGCTTTGGTTTTTCTTCCCTAAATTGATTTTGGGGGTAGGTTAGCCTTCTTTCTTTTTAATTTCTTGCTTTTCGGTTCATTTTCCTTGTTTCTTGGTTTGGGTTTTACGTGCTTAAGTCTGAAACATAAGTGCATTTGTATAGCTATGGCTATATGTGAAACCATCAAACAAGGCGTAATTTGGACGGTCATTTTGGGGTATTAGACCTTGATGATAAAGGCATTCGGTGGTAGAATAGAATAATGTTTCATCCTACAATATCGGGACCAAATTCCAGAACCTGGTGAAAAGTAGGATGACGATATTATTCACCGACACTAGACTAGCAGGACACCCTTGCCTTCTTAGGTTGTTGGTGGTTTTAGCCCCAACGGTGCGATTGACTTGTGGATAATCATATTTTCAATAAAAGAAAATGATAAGAACAGATACGTTACTTTCAAAATATTTTGACTACCAAAAATTGATATTAATTTTTTTTTATGCATGAAATCTATATATGTGTGCCAAAATATAAATTTTAAATAGCAAAATTCGAATGTCCACTTGTTTATTGTCAGTATTAGGCTAAGGAGTACCCACCGAAGTTGGTATAGTATGACACATTTCTAGTAGAATGTCGGGTTCTATACATACGGGTGACCGATAGTTGTCTTTGGAGTCCCTTGAGAATACTAAATTCTGAGCCTAGCTTGACCCGAATTCTTATGGTTTTCTTCCTTTCTTCGAATTTTGTGTGTTTTCCCATGATTTAATCGAAATCGGATTTTTGTGTGTTTCCCTACGGTTTTATCAAAATCTTCGCAAAACACTTGTGATTTTCTCCGAGTTTTCTCTGTGTTTTTGACGGTTCTCTTCGATTTACTGTGGTTCGTCTACCGCTTTTTCTCGAGTCTTTTTAGGAGTCGTTGGCCCGTCAGGTGTAAAAGTTTGTTTTACATTTACAGCATTTACTTTTGCTACTGCACGCTTTCCTGTGTATACACATAATTCATACATGTAATATTACTGTTTACTATTTACTGCGTTCCATAGCATCTTTCCTTTTATAATTAATGTTGCTTCTAAAGACTTGCAGGAGACTTTTAAGTTAGAGGTCAGTAGGACACCCAATTTAGAAGGTACCCCGTAGCGAGCCACTGACCCAATAATTGTACATCTTTATACACCACAACCCTGAACTTATGATCGATCTATTAGGGAGATTAGAGTAGTCTTTCCAGAAAGCGGAACATGGAAGCAAGTGGACAAAGGGCGACGATCGAAACCACGACGACGAGGTGTGGGATGTCTCTTTAGAGTTAAGGTCCGATAGTAAGATAGTCAGGAAGTCATCGGGGTTTCCCCTGGATCTGTGACATCCCTTTCACTCCATTGACTCCTGAAAATAACTGTTCATATTTTGAGTATTTCTCCCTTGATTTCATCATATTTATCTTTGGAAACCTAAATTTTGCAATCTTGAAGACAAAATCACTGATCTTAATTGAGATTCTTCTTAAGTAATTTCGGTCATTTAAGATGTAAGTAACTATAAGGGTTTGCCCCTATAGAGAACTTAAGAACCCAGTTTAAAATAAACCTTATTTAACTTTTCATGTTAAATAGGGGAACTTGTAGGCCAATAAAAAAAGTTTCGCAGACCAAACGGACGTCACAGATCTTTTAGTTTAGGTGGTTAAGCCTGCTAACAAGTTGTATGCATATCCTTTGGGATAGTGTACTACTTGTAGTATCGCGCTCAGCCTCCTGAACTATCAAATGTGTGAGATTCGTTTGGTCTCACTTTTCAAAATTAAAATATTATTTTTCTAAATTATAATCATATATATACATTAAATTAAAAATAAATGATTTTCGAGATAAAGCGGTCAACAAGGTCCAACACGTCAGAGATGAGAAAATTTTGAGTTACTTTTGGATATTCAGATATTAGATTCAGTCCACCAGTTTACCCAAAATTAAATATACAGACAAGAAGGACAAACCACAATTTTGAAACTTATCTTAGGAGCTTGATGGAAAATAAAATTCTTCGTTATCCTATCAGTGAGAAGAAGAGGTATCTCCTGAGTGGTTACTAGTGGAAGTGGCATAGTCTGCCCCATATTTCATTTTAGAATTGATTTCACTCCACATATTTGTTTATTAGCTATATTTTGTTGGGTACAAGAAGCGGAAGAAGAATGTTTCAGACTTAAAGGCTCGAGAGTTACATTGTTAGAACAAACATCTATATGCAGCTCCAGCTCAGGATGTACCAAAAAAGGATGCATATTTATTCTATCAAAACGCATTGTGGAATGACAACAACGTCTATAGGATTGACTTGTCAGAAGATTTTGTCATTGTTGATACTTTCAGTGAGGCAAACTTGATTACCATGAGGAGAAAAAAACTTCGACAAATGAGGTTGAAGCTCCTCCAACCCAAAGAGATTAATGAGGGCGCGTGAATAAAGATGCGGGCATGCAAATAAAGTCGCAAAGGCCAATAACGTCACAAGCACGACGTAGAAGGAGCCGCGGGTGTTTCCTGCTGTGTCCTTCGTTTGGACCGAACTAATCCATACCAGGGAGGGCCAATTGGCTCTCCCAAGAGGGATTGGCACCTCAATTCCATGGGGGGATCCAATTATATATATTTAGAGCTTATATATGCGATTCTTGTTTTTAAATTTTCAGTTTTTGGCGTGAAGTTGGGTAAAAGAACCATCGGCATATGTTTCTCCCTTTGAGGGTTGTATCCGAGGGATTAACTGTTACTCCGACTGTATCTCTCCCGAGTTAGTGATTATCTTTCCTATCCCTTCTTGCATCCCTCTTGCTTCGCCGCCACCCCCTCCTCCCGTAGCAACCGCCTCGACATCAGTCTTGTTGTTGCACTTCCTGCAGTCCTCGCCGTCCAACCATCCTCCTCACTGCTGCAACCCTAGGAAAGTCCACCTTTGACTACCCCGCAGTCCCACACCTTCCCTTCACTGTCGTCGTCATTCCCACTCGCTAACGCTACCTAGAAACAGTCGTTCCTGGCTACTTCTGCTATTCCAACCACCCAACCAGCTATTTCCCTCATTCCAACTTGCTGATATTACCGCAATGCCTCCCCTTTGCTGCTTTCCTGCTGTCCAGCCGCCCCAAACAGTAAATTGCTACTGTTTGGACTGTTGTCCCTTGCTGCCCTGCTATTACAGCCATCCATAATCGCTGCAGCTCCTCATCCACAACCAAAAAGCCCCTTTCTCTAACTTGTTGCCACCTCGTCAGGCCCGCTAACCGTCACCGCCGTCACCCAGGATCTGCCCGAATGTGAGTTTGCGCGTCGTGTGTTTTTATTTTCCTTTCAAGTGTTTTTGATTTGAACCGCTTATTTGCTTCAAGTGATAATATTCGGTTTTCCTATTGTGATTTGGGTTAAATTTAGTGAAACACTCCTTTTTATGCAAAGGTGAGATGGCATATATGTAACAATTAAAGTTTAGGCATTAGATATGTAAGTACATAGCAATTAAGTGGTATGTATGTAAATCTTCCTTAAAAAAATTACTATTTGTCTTTTGATTTGTGAAAGGAAAGTCTTGAGTTAGAACAATACCTCTCCTAGGAACAAGGCAGAGAACAGAACCGAGAAAAAGGGTTCCATCGCTTTAACTGTATGCGTGAAAGAAACAGCAACCTTTCCCAGACTCATGTTAGTAAAAAGATTGCCTAGTGTGTGGGCAATAGCCAATAGAAGGATTGTTGAAAGCTGCTAAAATCATCCTCAAGTCATATATATAATTCAGTTGTGATTTCATTAACCCTGCGTATATTATTGTCATGAAAATACCTGTGAAGTAGATATCTTAGGTCTTTTACAAACGTTAGTGCTCCACATGATGAATATGAAGATGCTTCCAAAGGCAAACTGAAATGCAGAGATGGTCGCTGGGAAAGGATAGACCTTCAAGATCTGTAAACACGCTCAATTTTCTCAGAGGCTTGTTATTCTATGATCAAACTATAAATTAATAATGGAAAAGGCACATAATGACCCCAAAGGAACATGTCCTAAAAGCAATTACAAAAAAAAAAAAAAAAACAAAACAAAACAACATACTGACAATTCGATATGAGTGAGTATTACAATGAACCATGCAAATCTATCAAATTGGTTTTTTTCTAATAAACACTTCACTGATTGAAAAACAGAATAAAAGGTTGGAAAGTGTCAAAATTACGAGCAAAAGCAGGTTAGGGCAGGATATAATTATGGTTAAGTACAGTGGATTTACTCATTGGTTCTAAAATATGAGTGAAAAGTAATTCTATGACAAAAAGGGAACTATAGAGTTTATTGTGCAAAACAAAATATTCCGGTAGGTGCCTAAGTCAATCACAAGGGATAATGCTATCTTGTTAAAAGTAAGAATACACAGAAGATTTCGGATCATCCTCTATTTTTTCTCAAAGAAAATGCATGCATTCAATTTTCTCAAGTTGTTATTTCTCAAACAAATTCTCAGGCCCCACTGCATGCAAACCCATAAACACTAAACAAATGTTATACGCTCCAAAAGTTCTGACAGAGAATTCAAAAATGCTAGAGAAGCAACTATGAAGCTAAGGAGAGTTAATGGTCTGAGTTGGTTCAAACCTAGCAATTCTTTGATGCTATAATGAAACAAACCAAACCAAACACCCTAAATTATAAATTGAAACTGAACCACTAAGTTACATTGGTGGGAATTATGGAACCAATTTAGTATGGTTTGGTTTGGACTTGACTTAATCAACATGATATAGAAGACTCTATGTGGCATTCTATGGTTGACTTAATTTACATCACCACCATTATCTAGATAGGCAGGAAAACCAGAAATAGATTGATAGATTGACGTGTCCAACCAATAACCAAAACAAAAGCAAAATCATGTGTAAATTATATAAGCGACGGTCTCTGACTCGGATCTTCAGATTGATAGATGCATTCATAAATATCTATCCCCGATAAGGACTTCTGTTCAGCAGAATAGAAATCTCTATACAAAGTTAGGAGATAAACCGTTCAAAGTTCAATTTTCTGTAAGGAATTCTTTATATGATTTTGCGCCAAAATCAGAACCAAACTAGAGTATCAAATTATATATGTAATGATAAAAGAAAATGAGACTACGGATTGAGCCAGGCTACATAAGAATTCACACGACAAACAAACCAACCCACAAGAATATTACCAGAATGAAATAGACATCACAATAACATAACAAACTAATGCAGATTATTATCCGGAAGAATCCATGTTCATTTTATTGTTGAATCAATCTAACTTGTTTAAAAGTGAAAAAATCATACAAAAAAATAAACCATATTTAATAGTCCAAGAAGAAGAGCAAGAAGAAACAAAAGCTCCACAAACCAATTCCATTCATGTTACCTGCTTGTTATAGATATTGAAAAATATGTTGAAGATGTACCATAGCACAATCAGAACCACAAGCTCGACCGTCTGTACCAGGCCGACGGGTCGCTCATTGGGAGCCGCATCCGGTACCGCGCTGGCACCGACAGCGAAGACTCCCTCCAGCTTTCGTTCCCGTTTAAGAAAATTCTCACACGGAACAATAGACCTAACCCTGCCCATTCCTCCATGAAGACCCGCGGCTATCGCCGATACTTGCGGCAAAGGTTCGCCGTGGCATGGCAAGAAAGCAAGCTGATCACTTACAGGAGATCGAAAAATGAGAGCCCTCGGTGGAGCGCCGGAGAATGGCCGGAGAGCAAGCGAGTATTGAGCGAAAATCGGCATCGATTGTTCGAAGGAAAAGTTGATGGAAAAGTAGGAGAGGCGGCTCTTTAGCTCTCCTTTTCAGTTGCTTCAGGTCTTTCCTCCCGCGGCGCTTGGTGTAATTTAAAAGTTTTTCATGTAAAGAATTATAAACCAGTGGCGATTGCGACTGTTGTCAATATTTAAATTTAGGGGTTGTTAACTATTTTATGTTTTTGTGAGGGTGGTGAATGCATGATTGCCGGGAGGATGAATGTACCCGCAATTCTGAGGATATTTATATCATGTTAACGTGGACGTAACCTTTTTGTAATTTTTCTGTATCTTATCTCAACTTATAAATAAATTTCGCGCTTCTATTTCTATTTTCACATATTAATAAGTTACATAGAAGTTATGTCGAGATTACAGGAGATATAATGCGAATATAATGTCGATATAACTCGAATATAACCTCCATTACGTATGCTACGTCTTATGTACGGAAATTTTTTCTGCTGTGAGATGTACGGATTTAATTTACATACTTAAAATGGCTTTCTGAAATCAGAGCAGATATACGAATTTAATCATAATAAATTTTAAAACTCTTATGGCAAATTATTGAATATTCTCATACTATTTTTCCTTTCAAAACTTGTAAAATGATAGATTATTAATTTTACAAGATAATTTTTAATAATAAATGAATATTTCAATTATTCTAGCAGAATTTTTTATTATTTTTCGGAAAATGTTAAAAGTTCAATCGAAATAGTAAGTAGGGCTGTAAATGAGCCGAGCTTGAGCGAGCTCAGGCTTGGCTCGTGTACGGTTCGTTCGAAATCAGCTCGTGTTCGAAATCGGCTCGTGTTCGAAATCGGCTCCTGAACCGTGTGTTCGTGTTCGGCTCAAAATTGGCTCGTTAAACTAAAATTGAGAAAAATAAATGTAAAGTGTGAGATTCGAACTTGGATCAAATTTATACAAAAGAAGACACTAACCACATTATCACATGAGATGTTATCATTTAAACTTAGATATAAATATATATAAAATATTATTATATAAATAATATATGTAATATATTGTTATATAAAAAGTTATATAATTTTTTTTTAGTCATTTCGAGCCGAACACAAGCGAACAAACTGTTGGTCGTTTTTGTCTCCTTTGTTCGTGGTCTCGTTCGTTAGTTGCTTAACGAGCCGAACACGAGCTGCTCACGAACAACGAGCCAAATTGACAGCCTTAGTAGTAAGATCTATGTGCTTAACGAATAATTCATGATATGTGATCTAAATTTTGCATAACAAATTTTTAAAATCAACAAAATAGAATATTAGATTAATTAATCAGCATTTATTAAAAAAATTTTGAAACTAATATTATCGTCATTTAAAACGGCGTTGTCACTTTAATTAGTGATAATTATAAAACGATTTTTTTTAAAAAAAAGGTTAATTAGTTTTGATAAATGTTTGGGTAGTTTTTTTTTTTCTTCATAAAAATTTTTTGGTCAAGAAATAATTTACATACCCCATTTAAAATTTTTTAAAAAAAATCATTATCTAAAATATTTATCGGTGTGTATTTTTAATTAATAAATTTATAAAATAAATGACATTGAGAAATTAAAAAAAAAAGTAATTTATAAAAAGAGTTTGTCCTTTGAGTTAAAAAAAAAATCAGTTATCACATTTTTTTGAGGAATTTTTAAAAAATTTTTGAAGATATGATTTTAGATTGAAACAAATTTTTGCATATTCCCTTGAGAAATATAAAAAAAATTAAAAAAATAAAACCTAATCTAAATATTACTAATTTGTAAATTATAACATAATGCTTATATAATTAAATGAAGAGAATTCACTTTCTAAAAAAAATCATAATATATAATAAAACTTTCATATAATAAAGTTGATCTAGTACATCTCAAATATCAAAGGAAAAGAAATACAAAAGTGCATCAAACATCTCTAATACAATATACAGGTATGATCTACTGTCACCAACTACACTATCTTGACAATATTGTTCCATTGTCAATGGTGTCATAATATAGAGCACGTTGTAGTTTGTGATGTAAGTGATTGTGCTACTACAGTAAATCCTCATGCATATTCTCATGTTCTATTACCATGGATTTTGACACATAATATGACATTAGCTGAGTTGCTCCTACAATATTGCTCACCACAAAACTGTTATTCATAAGCTATTGGTATGGTAATGGGCATCCAGAACTGTCCCTCATACAATGAGATGGAAGGACAGTTATCTTTTGTTACCAAAGATTGTCTTGAACCAAAAAATATTAAAGGTATTAATAATGATTGTCCATGGATGCTCCCCTGTGAATCTCTCTTCTACAAATAGTATGTTAACCATGTCATGGATGTTATATGGAAGTAATATAGGTGGAAGATTTGGAGTAAACCTAACTCATCAATAGAGCTCTGCACTTACTTGTACAGACATCTTTATGTGATGCATTCAATAAGTAGACTGATTATTGCATTGGGTTACATAGCTCATTGAGTTTATTAATCATTGTCTATCTCAAACTACCATTGTCACCATAAAAAAAAAACTAAAATATATATGATGTCTTTATAATGAATTTGCACTACGAAATTAGATTAAGTTAAAATTATTAAGTGATTCAAAAGATGACCTAACAAGTTTTAGCTTAAAGAAAGTTATCGAATTCCCTGCCCATTTGATGGAGAACCTTAGGTAATACATGTCTAGAGCCTCTACAGAAGTTATAGACAAGTACAAGGTAGTTCATGATTGATACCACCACATGCCTAGAGTAAGTGTTATCTCCAAATTAACACTTGAGTCATCCTATGCAATATTGTATACCTCTTTGTCATCTCTAATCACAATGTATTATTAGTAGCAACACCACTCTTTTCCCAGTCATCAACATGCTGGAAACTTGCTTCCATTAGCTTTATATCAACTTTAACTTCCTATCTAAATTTTCATACAACTCTCTCTGATAAGTGCCATCTGCATGACACAAGATTAACAAAGGCACTTTTGCGCTTAAATAGCAGCTCAGATAGTGCATAAGTCTACAATGCATATCGTTGGTGGCCATTCGAAAGCTAAATAACCTATAACAAAAAATGAAGATAATAAACACACATAAATACATGTAACTAAATGAATATAAAAAATAAACTCTACAACAATCCATCGAACTCATCCTTTTATACTCATAAATGGCTTATTAGTTGCTCATGAATATGAGGTTCATTTCACTTGCACCATCGTACAACTATCATAACCTATTGGTATAAGAAATATGCAAATTAATATTTAACATGAGTTTTCAAAAACATGATTACACTCGGTTCGCATCAATTTTTTATATCACTAGTATAGGGTGTCCACATGCATGGATCAAGATGGTCTATGACTTGTTAGTAGCATTTGGTAGCTCAAAACACCCACCCGGGACCTTCAGGCACATGTTCAGGGCATGCAACTTGATTTGGTGGCAATTCAATCATACCCGGGGAAATTACTTTTGGGAGGCCTATCTGAGACAAGAGATGTGGTTGGTGCATAATTTAATGATTAGAAGTCACCACACGTCCATAGAAAGTCACGGAGTCCACCTATGTGTGCTACAAGAAAATTAGGGTTCGAGGCAGCCTAGCCGCGCTTCGGTTTAAGATGACCGTTGGCATTAATTTCTCTAGCTAATGACCAACCAAAATACTTCATTTTGAATTTATTGGACTATATTTTACTCACATGGAGTCTCCCATTCTTCCAAATCGAAAGAAATGTTTCATCAAACATTCTCGGTGAATATTAGAGTTTCGGGCTAGATCGGCACCTCAATGTCGCCCCCATGGGCCCACGCTCCTAAAATACCTTTCCAGATTGTCAAGCCCAAGTCTTCAGAGGTCTCACAAGTAATTTGAATCTTTGGCACAGACTCGACTCCTAGGCGCCGAAAAATGGGGCACCAAGGCGCTCAAACAGGCCAAAAAAACCAAATTTTCCCGAGAGCTTGGCACCTAGGCGCCACTCATTCTGGTGTCAAGTCGCCCAAACCAGAGCCTTGGCACCTAGACGTCAACTACCCTACAGGTACTATTTTTTATGATTTTGTATGTCGTTTTGACATTGTAAGCTGTCGAAATGTCAAGAGGCGTCTGGGAACTCTCAAAGGGGGTTGCAAAAGGACCCTTTTGCCCTCGCCTTTAGAAGCTTCTTGGGCATCTATTGGAGGCCTTTTGATCATTATGGAGGGTGCTCAGTTGGCTTAACAAAGCAGCACCTTCCCCATCTTGGTTGAACGAAATTTCAACCACGGAAGTCGGGTGAGAGCTGGGGTTTTCTCCTTCCTCCACCTCTTCTTCTTCATCCTTTCCACCTTCTTCCTCTTCATTGCTCCTTCTCATTGAGAGATCTTCTTCTTCCTTGAGGCTTTGAAACTTGGGGGTTTTCTTGAGAGAGGTGAGCTTGAGGTTGGTCATTTATCCACCCCATCTACTTGTGTGCGGCCATCTTCTCTGGAGAAGCTTTCGAGGAGCACAGCTAGGAAAGTGTCATCCTAACTTGAGAGAAGGAAAATCTGGTGAACTCTGACTATCTCTCCAGCAAGAAGAGCTTATTCACCACTTAGGGAATAGATTTATGATCTTCTCTCCTTCCTTCTTGGAGAGCTTCTTCCTAAACTCTGGTGGACATCGAGCAAACTCTGTGGTGGTGAGATTTTCCCCTCCTACATTCCTGTTCATAGTTAGCCCTATGTTTTAGTTGTGTTAGGTGTGTGGGTTTGATCCACCACACGGGAAGCGTGTATTGGCTTGCGTTAGCCAGCGTGGCCACATGCTTATGTGATGGATCGTTAGTCTTCCTAGAGTGAGCCTTTTGGTTAGGGTTTTTCATGCATGGGCAAACACCTCCATAGAGCCAAGTGTCCCCTTGTTTTGAGCCATAGCACAAAATCTCAGCGGGTTGGAGCCTATTTCTCCCCTTATTTTGGCTTCCCCAATTTTTCTTGAAGAAATTGGGAGGTTGGGTTTTGCAAAGTGAAAAAAGTTTTGTAGCTAGCTCACTTTGCAAAGCCTTGACGCGTCGTGAAATTGAAAAAAGTTTTGTAGCTAGCCCATTTCACGATAGTGTGGAGAGTTTCCCTCTTGAAAATTCGTGGAGAAACTCCCCATTTGCCTCCTAAAGCAAAAGGCGGCTATATTGTACATCCAAGCACTGAACCCAAGGTTTCCTATGTGAGATTGTTAACACGAGTG